GATAATTTAAATGAATAGTATGTTTATTATTAATTATTGCATAGGGTATGCATTTATATATATTATAAGAATATATAACATATATTTATTATTTACTATATAAATTATTTATTATATAATTATATAATACAAATACTGGAAGAAGGAAAATGTTGGAGTGAAAATGCTTTTATTATTGTATTAAATGGGGAAAATGCATAAGAGAAAGGGAATGGAAAACGTTAGGTCCCTTAATTAGGAATAAGAAAGGTAGAAAAGTGAAGTTTGAGGTCTAGCCTTTAATTCTTCTTATTTCTTTTGCATTTTTTCAGTTACCTTAAATATATGATGTTTAATAACTAATTGAAGGTTATGCAACCAACCATAAACCAAATTTCATGCACAAGGATCTTTACCTAGGAATGAAGTCAATTAAACCTTAAATGAAATAATAGTATAATAAAAAAAAGAGCATATATATTTGGATTATGAGATAAAAATTATTAAAACCAATTTTAAACTATATGTAGAAATTTTATAAGGATAATAGTATAATATCCTTCAATTAGGTTTTTCTCAATTCTCTTAATATCCTTTCTTTTTAATCTAGCTCTGTACAGTTTTTTGAAAAAGTATTATTGACAATTAGTAATTTTAATCTAACCTTAATTATTTAATTAGAATATTTTTACTAAAAATTATTATAAAATTTAACAATTAATAAAAAAATAATATAAAATTTAACTTTTAATGTAAAAATTAAAAATTAAAAATTAACCGTGCAACGCACGGGCAAAAAACAACTAGTTATAATTATAAATTTACAACTTTATTAGACATTGTAACCATGTCATCAGCATGTTCTTACATGTATGCAACCCTAAATTAGGACCCCAGTAGGCCTTATTTAGTTCATTTTTATTCTCTTTATTTCTTTCAAACCAAACAGTTCATAATAACTGCAATTTGGGCTGTAATTTATGAGAATTTGGGACTCTGCAATTTGGGGCAGCGACGGTAGAAGACGAAACGTCACCAATCTCCGCCGAATGAGACCTTAGATTGCAAAAGTAAGAAACTTGTAACCTTGAATAGGAAATCAATCAAAGTTGGAGAACTAAGTTGCTATTTTTGCCATTGAACATGGGCCAATCAACAGTTAGTAAAACATAAAACGCGTAATCTGACCCTCCCTCAGCCCTCATTACAATGAAATTCACAGGCAGCAAATTGCTCGCTCACTGAGACAAAAACCAATTCCCACCTCAACCTTTTAACAGAGAGCACTGCCTACTGGGAATAATACTGAGATTTTGAGTCTTCACATTTGCCATTCACTGCGATGATGTCGAGTTTCCGCCTACAGTCCAGTACTGCTTGACGGCCACCAATATCTTCTCAGGAACCAGGGGACCGTCTTCGTGGTCTACCATTTTGGCATCCCACCTCATCACTTCTATTATCTTCTGCACTTTAATTAGTACATCCACTTCATCCCTGAATATGACTGCTCCTTCTGGACGCAAAATCCGGTCCATCTCCAGGAGAATGTCCTCCAGATTACATCTGCATGCATTCAGAGATATAAAAGTTATCAATGTAAGAATAACTCCTATATACAAAATTTTATTTAAAAGTTCTTCCACGTAACTCTAGTTGATGTGTCAATAAGAAACTCTTCCAGGAATCACGCCAAACAAGCTGAGTTGAGAGCTGCATCCTGAGTCTAAATTGCATAACAAATGCTAACTATTTTCCACAAATGGTTAGTGAGAAAGTGACAGTAGGCCTGTGCATACATATAAACTTAATACCCTATCTTCCCTTCCGTAAATTTTTTATTTTTTTCTTGATAAGCACTTCTGTAGAAAATTTATAACCTATTCCAATAGCAAGGGGCAAAGGCATAAAACTGGTTTGCACAATGTTGTGATTTAAAAACATGAACTTCTAGAATTTCAGTTGCTGCTACAACTAATGGGACTTTGTTTTTATTTGATTACACTTTGGCATTAACATTTGGTTTTATCTTTTTGCAACAGAACCACAGGATATATGACACTCTAAACTACAAGAATCACACATAAAGTCCAATCCAATTGCAACCAGAATAAGGAAATACACATTTAACTCTGAAACACTTACTTGCCATCCTTGTCGTACAAACTGAAAACACCATGGGCATGAATGAGGTCATATGTCCTTGGGTATGTTGAGAAACCTTCACACCTAGATGAGAAAGATAAAGAAAATTCAAGTTCAATAATTATTCTTTAATAAATGTTGAACAACTAAGAGCCACAGGAAATAACATAAGTGCATCCAAGCAAATTGTGCACAGAAAACAGTGAATCCATCCTTGAAAGTAGATGAAGCTGAAATGTGCTGACAAGATTCATACACTATTAAGTTTGAACTCAGTTGAGATAGCACCTTATTGGCATATTGCCATGCCCTAATAACCATGAAATTGATCTTAATTTTAATTTACATTTACATTTGACACATGCTTGCTCTGACAATTTCCAATGGATTTGATGAATCAAGAACATATCATGAGGAATTTATTTAATTTGATACTTCAACCCTAAAAAGGGAATTGATCAGAAATTCCAAAGGTATCCAAATCATGGGTTTGAGAGTACTTCAGCAAATCAAGATGAGAATTTCAAAAACAGAAAAGAGGCAAAAAGTTAGAAACTTGTACCAGTCATGATAGATGCCAATCAATCCTCGCTCATATATAACACCAAGTGTATTTTTCTCTGCTATAGTGGGTACAACATTCATGGTCCACAATTTGGGTGATTCAATAGCTGCAGCAAATCCTCCCAACCCAGCATTCATATCCATAATGTTCCTGTACCTTCCTGTATCAAGGAATCTATTAATTCTCTTATATGCATTCACATGCTTCTTCCATTTATTATTGTCCTCTTGGTATGTCTCAACAGAAACTCCAGGAACACTTCCACCAGAAATTCTAGGAGGGACAGCATACAGCCTCTCTGGGAATGGCTTCAGTTTTCCACCAGCAACTTCATCTGAGCTACTAGCATCAGGATATGCAGCTATGCATGCATCCATTTTCTTGTACCTAGAAATCACCAAGAAAGAAGATAATTTAATTAAATATGGGATTTTGTTTTAGAAGAAATAAACTAGATGTGATCCACTCTAACAAGAAAAGCAATATAAAATGTTCAAAAATGCATTCTCATTAGATACAGTAAAAACACAGCATTAAAATACTTCTGAAATACGCTCAAAGAAATCACAAAAATGATAATCTCAGAACTGATAGGTCCTTTTGATAATGCACCACATGTTCTCTGGCAGGAAGAGAATGGATAAAAATTACATTCATAATGCTCATGGAACTGCAAAAGCAGCAAAACTAATGACATTGAATGTTATAAGGTTCGTAAGTTGTGAGAGAAATGTCACCTGAGAACACAAAATAAGGACAAGTTGGTTCAAGTACAATAAATGAGATCTATGTGCTGGTGGCAAGCTAACTCATAAAAGTTTAAGACACAGTCAGAGCACTGGCAACTTCAGTCATTGTTAGTTTTAATAATCTGGAAGTCAGACATTCAGACTTAAATCTGTGTGAAAATATAGTCTACCATGCCAACCTTAGCTCACACAGGTGAAAATTTTCAAATAAAGCACTTACCAGACATCATCAAGTTCACTAGCCTTGCAAAAGTTGGTTTGAGAATCATCCCGTTTACCATGACATGCTTCATCATTTATCCTCTTTTGCCAAATAGCAATTTCACCCTTCTCATACTTCTTTTCCCAGCAAAGTTGTTTAGCAATCTCCTCAATGTTTTCTTGTTCTTGTTGAAGATCCTCCTTTGGGCGTTGCCATGCTTTGTAATTGTTCTTCCAATTGATTGGTGGTCCAGAAAGCACCCAGTAGGCACCAGGTCTAAGAACACGGTCAACTTCCTTCAAGTACATACCATCTGCAAATGGACAAATCCATGATGCATCCACCACTCAATTTCTTTGATAGAAATTTAATAAAAGAATGCCAAAATATACAATTTATAACAGAAATGTGAAAATTTCACATGCTTATACTCAAGAATATTGACTTAAAAATAGGGCTCACCATTTGCTCCCCAAGGAATTAAGCAACGTGAACAGTGAGCCATGTCAAAGGCTCTTGATGGGTATGGCATCTTTATGGTACCAAGAACACCAATAACAGCAGGTACACCTCTTTCAAGAGCAAATTGGACCTGTGCCTCATGTGAATCTCTTGGTGCAAACGACATGGCAATAACATTTCTACTCCATAAGTAGGCACCCCAACTTGCAACCTGTGTAAAATAACCAACCATCCATAAGCAAACAATCTTATCCAGTTAACCTAGATTCAAGGAAAATCATATTCCTCAAATAAAATTAATAATCAACTAAAAGTTTACAGGCACGTAACATACCCCACAACCAGTATCGAGAGCAGTCCTAACTGTCCCATTTGTGATTGGTATCACAGAAGCAAGCTGATCTATATACTTATCCGCCCCTTGAGGGAATTGTGTTCCTCCACCTGGGAACCTAAACACGTTGCCTTCATATTGGATCCAATTCTGAATGGCCTTTTCAACTGTCAAGGCCTTATATGGTGCATTAGCATAAGGAACATAATCACGACTCTTTGGCCAGGGGAATGGAGTTACATATCCATTGGGTGCAGGTATAAGACAGTGTAATTTCTCTTCCTCAGGAGGACAATGCCTCTCTCTATATATCATGTTTTCCCTAGGGAAAGTCATCGCCCTCCCTTGATCTTGGCAGGGTGTATAATCAACATAACGAGGGTGGCAAGGCTTAAAAACTTTGGGTTTTTCTGACTCATCATCCAAGCTGTCAACTTGGCCACCATGATGGGTCTCAAAATTTAAACTTGGAATTATATTGCAATCAGCCCCATGCTTAGTAATCTCTTGAGCTATGCTGTCCCCCTTCCCAAATCCACTTCTCTGCCATGCTCCCAATATGTAGAAGAAACAGCACAACCCAACTACAATAAATATTTGTACCGAGCTCCTAGTCCTCCCGTCAGCTGAATTTCCTTTCAGTGCCATAATGAACCTGAACCAATCTCCACATTAGATCAAGAAATGAAAAACAGTTGTAACGAAGGATAGAGGACATTCATTCATATTAGCAACAAGCAATAGAGGAACTACAGAAAATGAAATCCAACTATAACAAAACCCCATAACTAAGAGCTAATTCATGATTTATGTCATCAGTAACAGAGATCAGTGGATTTATAAACTAATTTAAGACTACACCATGTATAAGGAGATCAAAAAACAGAATCATTAAGCTTAGCAGATTTCTTTAACATCTTTCTCACCCCTGTTTTCCCATGTCCCGAAAGCACGGAAATTTCAACAAATTAAGAAGCTTTCAGCTTTAAAAAAATCCAAAAGAACCCATTAAAAACTCAAGATTAACCGGTTCAATTCATCACACTACATAGATTAAAGACCCAGAATAGCAAAAATTCAAAGTTGCAAAAAAAGAAGTGAAAAGGAAAAAAAAGTGAAGACCAAAGCAGACCCAGGAAGGAAAAGTGCAACGGATCAATTACCAATTGCATGAAGAGAAGCAAGCTCTGGTTCTAGATCTTGCCGCCTATCAGAGGAAAGAGAGGAATGAAAGCTTACGCGTTTATAGTATTTTTCTTCTTTTCTTTCTTGGAACACAGAATGATTATGAAAAAATAAACTACTAATGGAGAGGAGATCTTAAAGCCTCGCTCCCGAACGAATAGATCACTGAAAACCCTAGCCTGCAATATAGAATTACGTCTCACTGTTATCGGTTAAAGAACGAAGAAGAGATCGGAATCAGAAGAAACACTACCCGTTTCCTCTTTAACCATGTATCCGTCGCAGTGTTAACCAGCTATTAAAAAGAAGACGAAAATCAAATAGACCGTTTTCTTAGCCCTTAAGCTTCTTTTGAGTTTTCCAATCATGTCCGAAATTTTTTTTTTTGACCAATGAAATCCTTAAAGCTACTCAATTTGACACGACTTCCATTTTTAAGTTTTCGAAAACTAGATTCACCTTCTGAGTTTTTAAAAGATAATTTGTTTGCATGAAACTAGTTTCATATCTTTAGATCAGTTAAAGACAAATTTCTTGTAATACTATTAGAAAATTTATAAAAAATTATTTTATTATGACATTTTAAGAATTAATTTTGATCAATAAAACAAAAAACCAACTAAGCTACTACCTCTTTACGCTTATTACTTAGTTGAAATTATTTTTCATTGCATATTATTTAAATAAATAAAACTATATTGAAAAGAGTTCTATATTTTTCAAGCTACACATAAAATTATTAAATTATTTTTAATAAATAATTATAAAAAATGTATTAAAAATATTTTAATAATGTTAATATCTAAAAATCACTTTTTTTTATTAAAAATAAAAGTGGCTTGAAGAAAGAGAAGT